AGCCGGCCTGAATTGCCTCCTAACTGACTTCAGGCCATCTCTGCTCTGAGCAGCCCCCAAATGCCTGCCACCTGCCATCAGCGGCTGGCACAGAAAAGCCACTTATGTAAGGTGTGTGCTGCTGAAAGTGGCTTCATTCACAAGTCTCTGCCTGTCACTGTGGTGAAGGGGAGAGGGGAAGAGCAGGGCGGCTGGAAGTGCCAGGCGGGAGCTGTGGCGGAAGAGAGTTTCCTCCTTTCATCTCTCTTTGCAAACCAGGCACGGCTTGATGCCATGAGAGGAGCCCCTGCTGGTGGTTAATTGTGGGGGGTGGGCACACCCCAGCTTCCTGAGGCACGGTCTCCTGCTCTCTGGCTGGTTCACTGAGGCAGAGTCAGTTTCGGCTCCAATGCAATGAGATTTCAGCCTGCATTATATCATTAAAGCTAATGACAGAAGGACAATGGCTTCAAGGAAACTGTGGTGACATTGCAGACCGGTCTGGTGCCATATTAGAACCTGGAGTCCCCCCAAGGTTAGCAGGAATGGGGACAAGAATCAGAAAGCAAATGGTGTGTGTGGGAACCTGGTCCAGATTCGAGTCCCACGCAGCCTTCTGGGTAGAGAGACCTGACCTGGGGAGCAGCTCGAGTCTCATTACACACTAGAACTGTCAGAGTGTTGTCTACACAAGGACTCTGTAGTCTTATAAATACCTTCATTTAGAGCCCTGGCTGTGAAAACACAAATGCCCACACTCAAGAGTCTGTGGACCAAGAAATGCCTGATAACAAGTTACTGGGGACTTCGTGGATCACAGAGTGAACCAGCCATCAATCCAGGCTCCTCAGCCTCCCAGGTGCAAAAGAGAATAGTTTAGTATCCACCACCCTTCCCCACCCTCCCCACCCTGCCCAGCAGGACACAGCCAGAACCTTTGACCTTTCTCAGTCCTTGGCTGCCTCTGCCACCCCTGTAGCAATGATTGATACTAACTCCTCCTCTGCTGCAAAACCCAAGCCTGCCTCGTAGGTAGGAAGGCACAGGGCTTCTTACCATAGTGTAAATGACTACATATAGCTGCATTGACTCTCCATCCACCCCACCCCAGAAGCATCCGACATTAGTCAATGCTTTAGGACAAGGGGCTAAGCCTTTGCATGGAATTTCATCTACGCATGCACACTGTGCTTCAAGGTGTCCAGAGACCCCTTCTGTGCCCTCCCCCAACCCAAAAGTACACAATACCCAAGAGCCCAAAGGAAATGGGACCTTGTCTCAGTATTCAGCCTGGATCTGGGTATACCATAGGTGCTCAATAAGTGAACCAGCAGCAGTGAGTTTCAGGCAAAAGAGGGATCTGCCTGCAACAGATCTGAGATAAGAGCAAAGCCCCACCAACCCCATCAATGACTCATCACAATCAGCAAACACTAATGGAGCGCCTATTGCATTCATGCCTCTGACTAGAGCCCAGACTGAAGGCAACTCTCAGACTGGCCCACCTATTAGTCAATCAACTAGCATCTCACCAATCAACTGATCAACTGATTCATTCAGGCGGTTGGTTGCGAGCCTCTACTGGGTTCACCCTGACAGCCTAGCACTTAAGGGCCTCACCATATAGCATCTTAGGCCCCTGAGGAAGGAACACCAGGATAGGTAAAAAAGAGTCCTAAGAGGAAGCAAAGCAAAAACTCACACCCTGAGCTTATAGGATGGGATGACTCGGCAAAATCTCCAGGGGACCTGAGGCTACGGGAAACATAGACCTTGCAGGCAGCAGATTTTCTCTAACCCTCCCTAGGTCACCCTGGGATGACCTGGTGAAAGAAGATCATTGTGTCCACTTTACAGATGGAGAAACTGAGGCCCCCTATCCCCCAGCAAGTCTGCCTGCTCCCTCCTGGGACTCATGGCCATGCCCTAGACCCAGGGGTCCTTCTAGGTTCCCCCTCACCCAGGCTTGCCTCCGTGTGAGCAATGTTGATATTACTGATGCCAATAACATGCTACGCTCTTCACTCCCCCCCACCCCCACCCCCTAGCCAGGGTCGTTTATTCCTTGTCAGCCTCAGGACAAAGCACCCGGCGTACACTAACTCTTAACTGTACTTAGTATTGTTACTACCCCCCCTTTCTTCAAATGAGGTAAGTGGGGTCGATGGACACGCAACATGCCAGCACCAAGGTCTAAACCAAGATCTCAGCTCAGGGGGTCCATCCCCAGAGCCTGTGTCTTAACTACAATACCGTTTTAATGGAGGAAACTGAGGCTCAGAGAGGTTAAAGCCGTGTCTGAAGTCACACAGCCCCAGCGCCCACACCGCAGTTCCCGGACTGGCAGGCGGGCAACAGGAATGATGGGCTGTATCTGCAGTGACTCCTCCTCTGAACACATGAGCCTCTCCATCCTGGGTGGCAGCTGAATAATTTAGATGCGTTGGCTCCAGCCCACCACTCTGGGTCCCAGGTTTATTTTTATCCAAGTTCAGCCACAGCTCTTAACAGAAATAAACCCCACCACCTCAACTTGTCTGCCTGCAGGACCATCCTGCCTCCAAGCCCTTACAGGAAAAAGACAGAACCATATGTTGGCTGGGAAGGTGGGCGTGGGGGGGGCAGTGACAGAAAGCCACTGTCTTTGAGCAATACAGAAAAGGGAAAGGGTTAATAAAGACTCTCATGGCCTATATATGCCATATTCTACAAGCCACTGCCACCCACTCCCTGCAGCCGCCCACCCCAAACACACACCAGACACAGTGGCTGAGCGAACAGAGCAGCAGGAGCTGCTGGGAACCACACTCCTCCACCCTGGTGGGACTATGGAAGCCCCTTCTACAAGGATTGTCTATAACTGCCTCCAGGGCTCAGCTTCCCAGCCCAGTACAGGTTTGGAGGGGTGATAATGGCACCCTCCCATACACCAGGCTAGGGATGGGAAGCAGGGATATAGGGGTAAGAAGATTCCTTTATCTCCATGAATGTGGATTCCAAAAGGGCTAGGCCATGACTTGCTGTGTGGTTTATGGACAAGGCGTTTCCCCTCTCTGGGCCCCCCTGAAAATTGGGATTAGAGAAAGACGCTAGCTCTCCCCTAAAAGTATGGCCACCCCTTGCCACAGCAGCTGTCGTGAAGATCAGGGGATCTGGATAGAGTCTTAGTCACCCAGAGCAGCTGGCTAATTGCACAGATGAAGAAACTGAGGCCCGGAAGGGCAAGAGAAGTCCTAAGACTCAAGTGCCTTGATTTAAGTCCAAGAATCTTTCCGGAAGGTTCTCTCCGTTTCTCTCACTGGTGCACCCCAATGCACCACTTCTGATGTGACAGGGAGGAGGCAGACTCCTGGCTTTTAGCCACCCCAGGGGGGTGATGAGCAGGGAGATGGACGGGAAACCCTCATGTCTGGTCACCCCAAGCCTGGGCTGGTCCAAGGGGCTGTCTTGTGTTGTGAGGTTGGGAACTAGAAGTTGACTAGGGAAATGTCCCAAGGTACTTCCCTGGGACCCTTGGTGTTCCTTTGATAATTCTCCAAGCCCCACAGTCTCCCCATAGTCCTGTAGTCGAGGGGTTAACACTCACTAACAGCAGTGGACCTCAAAGGTACCTATCCAACACCCAGCCACAGTCTATTCTGAGTAAAGAATGTGAAAGTCCAGCACTTAAAGTGTCGCCCCTGGGCAAGCCTGCAGCTTCTCATCCAAGCCAAATTTCCTCATTTTCTATTCACACTTACAGCCTCCTAGGGAGGCAGCTTCCTCAAGGTCACCCAGACAGGAAGCCAGGACTCAGAGGATGATAACCTTGGCACTAACCACCAGGCTACCACCTATGCTCTCCTCCTGTGTCCTGCCCCTGTGCTCTCCAGCCCCTCTTGGTTCTGGGGCTGGGTGGCCCTTCTGACATTTCCATGTTGACAGTCCCTGGGGCTAACCTTGTCTTCCTTTTGCCTCCCAAGATCAACTTCCTGAAGGAATTCCAGTGGATAGAGACGGCTGAAGTGGCCTCTGAGTGGATCACAGTGCTAAAAATAAAGACTTTCATTTCCCAAAAAAGGGTAAAGTAATTAAAGCAGGAAGGAAAGCGGAATCCTCTCCCACAGATCACAGATTACTGGCCAAAGCATGTTAAAATTAAAGATGAGTTTTGGGATTGAGTGGCGAGGGGGCTCTGCTTCCTGCTCGTTAACAGGTTAGTGTGGGGTCACCCCACTTGGATGACATAGAATGAAACTGGTGTGGGGTACAGCTTGCCCTGCAACTGAGGACCTGGGATCGGAATGACCTGTCCCCTTTCTCAATGATGAGATGGGCTCAGTGGCAGAGTCCCTGTGTCACAGCCACACACAGACCCCCATCCAGTCTCTTACAGGTGACACCACCTGTAAAAATGAAGCACCCTCAGATCGTCAGGCGGCTGGCTGCTTGATCATTCATGCCAAGAGAGAAGGTGGCGCTTTCATGGATCCCTGCTCTCCCGTCTCAGGACAGCTGAGTTTGCAGAACCCACCACAATTCAATTACTCAGCAGGTCCTGGCAGACAGCCCAGTCTGAGCCCTGTCCTAAGCAAGCACTGGCCCAGGATGCCCAGGCAAGGGTTAACCTTCTAGTCTCAGGTGACTCTCCCAACCAGGGCCAAGGTGCCCACCCACTGAATCAGAACACCCAAAGCCCCCGTGTGCCTGACCAGCCATGAAGGGTTAACTTCGGGAGCTGCCAATCACTTTCCCTAGCTTCTGCTGCAAAGCGGGCAAGCTGGGCAGAAGCCACTCTCTTGCTCATGTTGCCTGAACAGGCACACATTTGCCCCCTCCCCGGGCACTGAGCTAAAATCTCATTTGTCTCTAGCGTGTCTCTCTACTGATAAAACCCTGCAGAATGCAGGCAAAGAACTATGGCCATTTCTCAACAGCCCTACCTTCCCCGCTATCCCCTCCTTCAGCTCATGCACACACATCTCAGTGGGGGTACTGAGATGCCCTAGTCTGTTTGCACAGCCAGGTAGAATGTCACTCACCAGGACAGTAGAAGATTGCAGCGGAATGGGTGAGCCAAATTCTTGGCAACTCCTTGTCTTCCCTGCTGGCGGGGAGATGTTAAGTCCTGGGGACTTGGCTTGAAAGATCAGCAGATGTGTCTGAAAGAAAATTGTGCATTTGATTCTCCTGGTCTTCCCCAAATAAAAATCAAGGCATCAGCATGCACACATGCCCCTAAATCATGCAAAACCAAGATAAAAAGAAATACCCCCGGCAGAAGCGGAAACTAAGTACAGTTGGAGTCTGCAGACCGTGGACAGTGATTCGCTCAGACTACTCCACATGGATGGAAGGTTTTGTAAGTCTCTCTCTCTCTCTCTCTCTCTCTCTCTCTCTCTCTCTCTCTCTCTCTCTCTCTCTCTCTCTCTCTCTCTCTCTCCTCTTTCCTCTTTCCCTCTCTGGGCAGCGTAGGCAACTCTGGGCTGCGGGCAGTAGACGAATCAGTTGCTTCCCCGGTGCCCAATCGGGCTGTCACCACTACTGCAAAAACCTTGTGTGATCCAGAGGGAGGGGCAGCCGCTTCCCGGCGGCGCAGGGGAGCTGAGCTTGCCTCCCACCGTGATGCATTGTGCCGCGGTTGCTTGCGGGAGGAGAGGTGGGAGGCCAGGAGGGGAGGCTGGGCGCCCCAGAACGATCCGGATTGGCAGTCAGCACCACGGACAGCACCAGGACGCAAGAGGAGGGGAAGGGCAGCCACCAACCCCAGACAGAGATGGGGAAGTTATTGGATGGCCGGAGGAAGGGGGAGGCCAGAGTAGAGGCACAAGGACTGTTCTGTCGGACTGCATGCTAGCCACCTCACTGCACACTTAAGCTAATACTGCCAAATGAGCTGTAACTTCACTGCCCCTCTCCCCTCAACAACCCCTGGCCTTCACTGGTCTCTGTGTAAGTGTCTCCCTGAGGCTTCCAAAATCATTCACATTGCTGCTGAAGTCTGTACCTCATGCTCAGATGACAGCAAGAAAAACAAAGCGAGGAAAGCAAGAGTGCTTTAGGAGGAAGGTGATTTGGTTAAAACAGTCCCCATGAAACCTTGGGAACGTCTCTTAATGTTTGCACATCGTGTCTGCAAAATGAAGACATGACTACCTCATTATCCTAACAGCAAGAAGAACAAGGCTAAGATGACAGCAATAGGAATGCCCACACTAGGGGCTGCTACGAGATTCCAAGATCTATAACCCACCCTATGATTCAAATGTTTTGACGGAGATAACGGAGTTGACAGCCAACCAGGATGGCGCATGCCAACCTGCAGCATGTGGTTTGAGTGGGATGGAGCTTGGAATTCTGGGAGTTTCAGAGCAGACATAGTGCTCTGCCAAAAAACCCATCTCCCCAAACCAGACTGGCTTTCTGAGGTAAAGTCACTACACACAGGAAACAAATCATTGGGGGGGTATATACAATGGGAATGTGTTCCCATGGCACCAACATCCCAGCTCCCAAGGGTTCTGCTCCTGCCAACTATGAGAAAGTGCTCATGCTAGAGAAAGAACAGGAGAGCTCAAACAAGCCAAGAGCCACTTAGAAACCTCCCAGCAAAGGGAGGGAGGTCCCTCTCTCTATTGGAGACACATATGTAAAGTTTCTGACCAATGGCCCAGGATAAGTCACTACATTTGTCACTAAATTCTACAGACTGTCGGGATCTGAGAGACCATTTGGAACTTGACTCTATAGACAATAATTATTATGGTGGTGTTGATGATGGTGGTGGTAACCTGGGTGATGACAGCAAGGCATTGACGGTGATGTCAATCATGACAGTGATGATGATGGCATGAAGATGATGATGACAATTGTGATGGTGTTTATGATAATGGTAATGTTGATGGTGATGGTGTTGGCAATGATTATATCAGTGGTGATGATAGTGGTAATGATGGTATTGACAGTGGTGGTGGTGATAATGATTATTGCATTGATTGTGACAGTTATGGCCATATCTACTATTAAGAACCTGCTATGGCTGGTCGGTAGTGGTGCACGCCTTTAATCCCAGCACTTGGGAGGCAGAGGGAGGCAAATCTCTGAGTTCACAGCCAGCCTGGTCTACAGAGTGAGTTCCAGGACAGTTAGGGCTACACAGAAAAACCCTGTCTCAAAAAGACAGAAAGTGGGGAGGGGGAGGGAGGGAGAGACAGAAGGAGAGAGAGGAGAGAGAGAGAGAGAGAGAGAGAGAGAGAGAGAGAGAGAGAGAGAGAGAGAGAGAGAGAGAGAGAACTTGCTATGTTGTTATGTTCCAGGAACTCTTCATGTGACATTATGACATCTGGGGTCCTCTGTGACCCCTGTGAAGCTGATATCATTCACATTATATGAACAAAGAAGTTGAGACTCAAGAAATTCAATTCCTTGCTCAAGGCTACACAGTGACACAGTGACAGTCACGGGAATCATACCCAGGGTTGTGATCCCAAAGCATGCCCCCTAGGACATCTGTCCTGCTCAATGGTCACCTTCAATTTGGAGGCAAGACCTCACTGAGTGTTTTCTGAGAAGAGGCTATGGCACAAAGCTGTTCCTCTCACTTCACAGATGGAGAAACTGAGGACCCAGGAGGTAGGAGCATCTCTCTAGTCAAAGACCTTGCAAGCAGAATGGAAGACAGAACTGAGAGCATTTAGATGCCAGAGCCTGTGTTCTCATACCTAGACAAGCCCAGCACATAGTGAGCCTTCAACATCTGAACAACCATTCAAGAAACTCTAGAATGACAAAAGTGCTGCTGATGTAACAAAACCCAAATCTCTCCCAGGAGTCTTGATTCCTAGATCCTGAGGCGTTCCTACTCCAGTATGGCTTCCTTGACCATGAGGCATGTATTCTGGGAAGAGCTATCTCAGAGTCAGCTTTCTCTTCAGGAAGAAACAGAGCCACCAAATACTAAATGCCAAGACACCTACTGAGTGTCCAGTCCAGCCACAGTTACTGTCCTGTGTCTTTGTAATGACTTGAGGTGGGTTAGGTTGTCCAGCTACAGATGAGAAACCCAGAGTGGGGAGAGTGAAGCCCCAAACTCACAGCCAGGGAGCAGGTGGCAGGAAGGACATCTGTCTGCCAACATCCACGTCTTTATCGTCCTTTCTCCAGTCAGGTCCTCTAAACTTCCCGGGCAAAGGTAAAGGAGGCCTGGCCCGATGACCTTCCACACATGCCCCAAAGAGCCTGGTTCTAACTGGATGCTTCTAGCTGCTTTTGTACACGGGGCTCCTGCCCAAGCTTCACTGAAGCAGAGCTCTGTCACAGCATTTCAAAAGTAACATGGTTAAACATCAGCTCTGCAGCCTCCCTGGTGTCTACCCTCTAGGAATCAGCATCTTCTTCTCAGGGGGACTCACCCACCGTCCCAGATCCCTGCTCAGCCTCCAACCCCCTCTTCTGCCCCAAGGGCGCTGAGAAGCCATTCAGAGCCAGCAGCCGCTATGAGCTCTGGCGGCCACTGCAGTGGGGAGCTGCCTTGAAACCAGATTCCTCGAGGCTTCTCTCTGAGGCTTCATTCAAGCCAGAGCTTGCAAAGAGCATCCCAAGGGACTGGGTGCAGCTATCTTGTCCTCTCTTGCTCCTGTGCAGTTAGGACTCTCAGCCACTCCCAGCAGGACGGGCCATGATGGCTACAAGGGGGATCTTTAGCACTCCAGAGAGAGAGAGAGAGACAGAGACAGAGAGAGAGAGAGAGACAGAGACAGAGACAGAGACAGAGACAGAGACAGAGAGAGAGGAAGGGGGGAGGGATGGAGAGGGGGGAGGGAGGGAGGGTTTTCTAGTTTCAACTCTACCGTTGTGATAAAGCACTCTGTCCAAAAGCAACTTGAAGGGGGAGAGGTTAAAGAGACAACTCAGCAGTTAAAAGTGCTCACTGCCCTTGGAAAAGACCCAGGATTTGACTCCCAGCTCCCACATGCAAGCTCACAACTGTCTGTAACCCCAGCTCCATAGGTTCTACTGCCTCCTCTGGCACCAGGCACACACACCGTACACAGACATATGCATTGGTTCTTAGCACACACACATAAAAAGAAATGCTTTTTTAAAAATTTTTTAAGAAAGCAATTTTGAGTTAGACATTGGCGGCACACGCCTGTATTCCCAGCACTCAGAGGCAGAGGCAGGCAGAGCTCTGTGAGTTCGAAGCCAGACTGCTCTACAGAGCGAGTTCCGGGGCAGGCTCCAAAGCAATACAGAGAAACCCTGTCTTGAAAAAAGAAGAAGAAAGCATCTTAGGGGAGGAAGTGGATTGGTTTCAGCTTACAGTCAGTCGTCCGTGAGGGCAGTCAGGACAGGAACTTGAACTTTGGAGAACACTGCTAGCCAGCTCACTTGCAGGCTGGCCTCAGCTAGTTTCCTTATACAACCAGAGCCCACGTTCCCCGAGACTGATACCGCCCACGGTGGGCTGGCCTCTCCACATCAATTAACAATCAAGAAAACGCCCCACAGATGTACCCACAGGCCAATCTGATAACAACGACTCAGTTGAAACTTTTGCTCAGGTGATTCTAGGTTCATGCTAAATATGTCAGTATGTGTGGGTATATATGTACACGTACGTTTAGGCTCTCCACACCAGAGGCCAAAGGACAATGCTGCTGACCTGCTCTGCCTTTTGGAGAGGTGGAGGGGGCACACAGCTTTGGGGGCAGGGGTGGCTTTCTGGTGTAGGTCTCTTGCCTGCAAACCCCCAGGCACCCAGGTTGTATCTTTAGAACAGTTTGATTGATCCAGTCACCTTGTCCTTCAACCAAGGGGGCACTCAGTCTTAACTCCCCAGGCGAGTACTGGTCACTGGAGGTTGCTGGGAGAAATGATCACGTGCTTATTGGTTTAAAACGCCACAGATGTGAGAGCTTCCAGTTCTGGGTCAAGGGTCCTTCAGTGAAGGTACCCACTAGGACCCCCTCACCCTCAAGAAGCTGGAAAGGCAAGACATCCCCAGAACACCAGCGAGGGGTGCAGCCCAGGGGGTACCTTCACTGGCCTGGGGAGTTAAGACTGAGCAGCATCTTAGTTGAAGGACATGGTGACCCGGTCACATCAAACTGTTCTGAAGAGACAGCCTGGGTACCTGGGGATGTTCAGGCAAGAGAAAGGCCTCCATCCCCCTGGGCTATGCTCACTGGCCCCTCCACCTCCCCACTCCAGAGAGATGCTTTCAACAGGACAGGGAGAGGGCGAAGAGTCAGCCACAGACTCCTTTCAGGGGATCAGAGACAGAACAAGAAAAAGAAGCAGAGAGATACTAGCACAGGAGGGGGGTGCATGGGAGGGGGGGGGGAGAAGGGCAAGTGGGCTGCAGGGACCCCGGCCAGACAGATTCCTCTCACCATCAAAAGGGGCTCGTCCTGGGAGCTCACTGCACCCCCCTGGGAAACAGCCAGGTAATTACAGAGGCGCCGCAGCAGGGCTCAGGGAGACAGATGAGTCGGTATTACTTATTAATCAGCCAGTTTGGTGTTATCAGGCTAGGTGCCTCGCACAGCTGGGAACTTGGACTTGGCGACTGGACTCTTGGTTCATTTCCTACTGGTGGTGTGACCTTGGCCTCGTGGCTGACACACGCTAAGCATCAGTTTCTTGCCCAAGAAGGGGAGT